ATATTCTGATCAGTCTCTAGAGCACAATTTAATTTTTTTGTTCTTTTATATATATATATATATATATATATATATATATATATATATATATATATATATATATATATATATATATACGGTATATATATATAGTATATATATATATATATATATATATATATATATATATATACAAAAAAATTTAATTGTGCTCTAGAGACTGATCAGAATAATTCTTAAAACAACATTCCTTCAAATGTCTGTAATTTTAAATTGATTTACAAGTTTCAAAAAGTACTGAGATATCGGTTTAGGACCAATAGAGGCCTCTTGCAATTTCTGATATAAAAATTGGAGGTGTGTGAAGAGCAAACTTTACTCTAGGAATATGAAGGGCAGACTAAATGGGTGTTTTGCTCGAGATTTTGGTTTAATTAAGAAGCGTGAGTGACTTCAAAAGGTCTGTACATGCAAGAGACCCCTCAAACACAGCTGAATGTCAGATGAAATGAGGACGCCAAGCTCCATTCTAGAAGAACAGCTCTCTACCCCAAACTTTATATTTGGTACTATGATGAATTTAAATATGTTTAAATATGGTCTGCATAGCTTCAATCTGTAAGAATAGTTGTTACGGTTTTTATCCAGAAAGGTAAGAATCAAGTGAGACAAACTAAATGGTGACTCATTGCTTCGTCATGACAGGGTGGCATTCCAGAGCTGACATATAGCCACATACTGGTCATATGCCATGAGAGCAAGGATGGATAGATCACTGCAGGCAAAGGAGTACAATAAGTAAGCCTAAAGCTTGAATGAGAGATGATGACATGGGCAGGAGAGAGCAGATCCCGCAGGAATTTGGAATAGAAACCTGCTGTTCCATGAAGGGAATTCATGCAACAAGCACAGCTGAATATACATTGGTTCATAGAGTCAATTTACCAAGATTACTGTCAAAACAGGACAAACATTCACAAGGAAAATAATATGAATGAGAGAAAAAACAAATGAGACCTGAAATCTTTTGTTTCAATTTAACCTGGAAAAAATAACAACATGAACATTGGTTAAGATATGCCTCAGCTCTTAACCAACTCTCTTAAAGTGACTGACATTGCTTCTCTGCTAAATTTTGGAAATCCTACAGTAGCCATTGGATTTCTAGCTAGCCACCAACCTTTATATCAAGCAGTGTAGCTTTTGCCTTTGTGGAAGGTTGCTGCTTTAGGAAGGGAACGTTGATTCCACAGCACCAGATAGGCAGGAAGGATCTAAAGGGGGTACCACAGGCAGACGGCAAATACATCAGTGCAGGATGGACCAGAACAATTACTGTACACAACAAACTTCTAAACCAGTCGTCCACCCAAACTGTCATGATCTTGGTGCTGATGACTGGCTTATTTATTCATTTTATTTCATTCAACTTCCTGCCCGGTTTCTCATTACCACTCATCATATCCATTTGTGCCATTATCTATTTCATTGACTTGCTTCCAATTGTCAGTGCCAGATTATTCTAGAATTACTAATAGTGTTACTAATAGTGTTCTTTTCTGGATTCAGACCTTTGAGTCTGCCTGCCCCTGTCTGATCTGTTTGCCTGACCTGTCTTCAGATTCTGTTGGATTCTATTGTGGACTGAACCTGGATCAGCCTCTTGACTATGCCCCCTGGATTATCCGACATTCCTTCATTTGCTCGGATCTGATCTCCTGTCAGTTCTGTGTCCTTAAAGCCTTCAGCAGCTGGAACTCTCTGTGGCAAGAACAGTCTTGTCTTGTTAGATGACTGGCTGGTACCCACCTCGTTCTCTGGGCACGGACTGAACTCTAAACCAGGATGGTGACTCATGCATTCAGATCATCCTCCATCAGGTTTTCGTGGTCATTAACCTGTGTTTCCTCTCTGCAGAGTGACCTACCTTAGATGCCCTAGCACCTGCAGCTCCAATCCGTTATTGTTTTAATAAACACTTTTGAAGTTATCCACCTGTCTGTCTGGCCTGAATACTGGGTCCATCTGTTCTGAGTCATTACACAAACAACGTCCTCGAAATAAATAAATATTTCACCAAACAACACACCAATTTATAATACAAACAGTACCTTGACCTAAACATACCAAAACAATGTAATAAAAAAACACCTCAAAGCAGCATAAAAACTGTGGAGTACAAATAACAGCGGTTACAAATAAGGTAATTCTATAGAATAAAATCTTGCATGCATCATTTTATATAGCCTGTTGGAATTATCAAATTAATGCTACAAAAACAGATACTGATAAAGGGGCATAAACTACCTCAACAACTAATATAGAAGAATACATACAAGTTATAAGTTTAGAAGTCAGCATGAATGAATGAAATGAAAATTAGCAAGGTGATAAAGCCAAACTATTCTGACATTTAAGTCAAAAGGAATTTATTCTACTGGGATATTTAGAGATTATTATTTTATATTATCATTTTCTTAAGTGCTATCTTAGATATGTCCATTGATCCCTGTGGTTCTTTGTTGCTATATGATCAGCTATCTTTCCCCCTTCTCTTAGCTGATTTTGTATATTTTCCCTTCAGTACTGGAGCCTCTGCTCTTCAGACTATATCTGAATGCATAGTCTGCTACTACTGTATGCATTCAGATTACTACACTGGCCTGTTCCTCCCTCACTTTACATGTAAATATCCTTCCCAGGCTTTTCAGCCATTGCCACATCCTCTTTAACATGTCATCAAGTTTATCTCTTATCTATGTCTAGTCCAAATAATTTCTGACCCTAACTATGCACACTTTTGCATATGTCGCCTCAATCCCTTTGCAAGTTAGATTTAATTGATGTATATTGCCAGCTCAGTCCAAACATACAGACATCAAGAATGCACATTTCAAATATATTGAAGTTATAAAACAGCACGGTTGAGGTTATTTTTCAAATTAGCTATTATTTTCAGTGTTGTGAAAAAAATCTGCTGTCCTGAATAAGCATGTAAGGACTGTGGGCTGTTGATTGCAGTGTGCCATTAACTTTGCAGCAATCCCTCATAATATGCATGGCTGTAGCAACAGAGGACAACTCCGTCCTAATAGAAACCAATCTCAATCTGAACCTGGTCCAATGGATGGAGACATACCCTGTGACCAACTGGGCTTTAAGGAGACAAACAGAAGCTAAAAAACACAAAAGGACGTGTTGTATGTTAAAGAACAAGCAGAGGCAAGAGTGCTAAAGGCAGCAATAGTCCTTTCAAGGCCATTTCTCTTCTAACTGCCTCACCTGCCTGCAGGTAGCATTTAAGCTGTTAGTTTTTCATGCATCCTTTGCTCGATTTCTGTTTCTTTCATCCAAGTTATCTTAAGTTTTTCAGTTAAAGAGCTTCGGTTTGCCTCAGAGACTTTTGCATTTAGTTACCCCCAGTGGTGGGAAGTAAATCAAATTTACTTTATTACTGTAGTGAAGTACTTTTTGAGTATCTTTACTTGAGTAATATTTGGTATGGGTACTTTTATTCCACTACTTTTCAAAGTCAATATTGTTCTTACCCCACTACATTTCAGGGAGCTGCCATTTACTTGTTCACATTGGCTCAGGTTAATCCACTGGTGCAGTTTTTCTTTCTTGAAATGCAATTTCAACATGTAAGATAGAAGCCCTTAAGATTAAATTTGGACACAAATGTTTTAGAGACTTCCAATACATTCTACAATGTGAGAAACTCACAGGGCAGATTTTTGCAGTATACTGTATACATTTTATCATGGCGTGAGTTGTTCCCATGAACATCTCAAATTGTACTTGCAGTTTCTTTGTGGTAATAGATTCAATCTTAAACCTGTATTCCATTATCAAAGTGTGAGGAGAATCAAGACACTTCTGTTTTCTTTTTGCTTTGATTTTGAATAACAAATAAAGATCAAAATAGCTGTCCTTGGTTTTTGCTGTTTTTTATGCTGAAGTTCTGTACAAGTGGTGTTGAATTTATAGCAGGTGGTTCTACATGGTTTCTGAAAGTTACAAGGTTCTTTTAAAAAAACTACTCAGAAAATTAAACTGAAATGTACTGGTATTAGAAAATAGAATTTGTGCTTTCTATTAGATTATATATTTCCAGAGAGCTGTTCCAAAAGAAATTTCTTTTTGATTTATACTTGTGTAAACAAAATGCAAATAAATCTGTCTAAGTCTAATATTTAAGTAGTTTAAAATGCATTTACTTTTGACTAGTTAAATATTTGTCAGTTAACTCATGTAGATGTTTGACAGAGTAACTTTTGCTTTAAGTTGAGTAACATTTGACTATGAGTATCAATACTTTTACTCAAGTACTACTTTTGAGTACTTCGTCCACCGCTGGTTACCTCATCAGCATCATAACATCTTGTTTTTCATTATTTCTTCTTTAGTTTTTTCTTTGCTGTTACTTAGCTGCTAAATGTCTAACATGATGTTTTACCATTGTGTTTAATACCACTGAGTTAACGTGTTGATGTACATATAAGGACAGCTTAAGGAGTGCAGTTTAGGTCAAGTAGCAATGTTTTACTACTTTGCCTTTTCAATCTACAACTACTTTCAAGTCATACCCAGTAGGCACAGTTATCACAACATATAGAGTTGCCATACGATACACCCATAAACAATGTGGCCTTTGAGAGTTAGTCCCTGGCCCCCTCAACCCAGAAGACTAAACAGGGCCAGTCATAACAAGGCAGTGTAGGTTACAGTGAAAATTACTATTATGTTAATCAAGTTATGTACTGCCATGCTAAAAAGCAAGGCTACACCTTTTAAATCAACACATTTGAAATTATAGAGACACATTTTAGAAGTGCAACAAAATCTGAAGTAAAATGAGACTGGGTATTGGAAAGCACAGAATAAACAGTCAATCTTTTGTTTACAGGTATAAATAATTTATTGTAATAAAATTTGCTGCGGCTTTAAAGGCTTGTACAAAGCAATTGTTTTTTTGCAGCTATATGACCAAGATCATCATCCTTTATGTGTGAGTAGGTTTGATATTTTCCATCAATAATTAAAATCAATATTGGTATTGAAAAAAAACAAACATTGAAGAATAAATAAGGGCAAGAATAGGGGCAAATGCTATGTTTATGGACCTTCTGCTTATTATTTCATCTGAAAAATCTGCTTAAATTCAAATATATTTCATAGTAAGAAAATCAATAATTCTTCTTCTAATTTTCGTCAACTTGAAGCCATAAATGAGCGGATTCATGAGGGGAGGAACAACAAGAAACTCCATTGCTATAAAATTCTGCAAAGCCTGCGGTAAATATTTAAAACTATGTCGATTATTAATGATATCAATCAGTATAGTCATAATACAGGCAGATAAGGAAATTAAATGCGGTAAACAGGTTTGCATGAATTTTGCCCTCTTTTCTATTGAATTGTAACATATTTTGATGATATACATGTAAGACCAAACAATGTAAAAGCCAAGAAATATAAAAATTATTATTGTAATGTTTCCAACAATGCCATTAATTGAGGTTTCTTTAGGAAAACATGCCAGTGATACGATGCTCCAGTTTACGCAGAAAAGTCTGTTTATGTATGGACTGCATAGCTTCAGTCTAAATGTCAGAAGGCTGTTTACTCCAATAATAAAAAAGGATGTTAACCAAAGAGAGCATGTCATCCAAATCACTCTTTTCATTGACATGATAGAATGGTAATCCAGTGGATGACAAATAGCCAGATACCGATCATATGCCATGAAGGCAAGGATTGAGAAATCGCTGAAGGCAAAGGAGTAAAACACCTGAGTTTGAAAAAGGCACCCTGAATAAGAGATGATATGAACAGGAGAGAGCAGATCCCACAGAAATTTAGGATAGAAACCTGTTGTTCCATAGAGTGCATTGAAGCAAAAAGCACAGAGTAGAATATACATTGGTTCATGTAATGTTTTGTCCAAAACGATGATTAGAATGAGAGAAACATTTGCAAGGATGGTTATGCAGTAACACAGCAAACAGAAGAAGAAAAGAGCTGATCTGTGAGTCCGACTTGTTTCATTCAAACCTGAAAGAAAAAACACGAAAATTGTTGAAACATTTTCCATTTTTCTTCTTTTTGTTTAAGAAATATCTGCTATTTGACGGCTCTGTACACTTCAAGTGACCAGTCTTGCCTCTCACTAGATGTGAAATAGCTAAAATCATCCACTATTTAAAGAGTTCAAATCAACCAACCAGTATTTTTTCAAGCCCTGCAAGACGCTGTCGATTGGGTCAAAGTTTGCAGCTTCCTGAAAGTCAAAGTTTTATCCGGGGGGAGATGAGGCTTTTATTGCACACCTGAGTAATTGCTAAATTGCTACATGATAGCCCTGTGAGGGCATGAATCGTTTAAAGAGCATTTTCTAGTTAACATATTTAATCAGATATTTTCTTATAAAGTAATGGGATAAGGATAGATTACTTCAATTAAGAGCTGAAAACACAGGTAAAATTTTATCGCCGACAATAATTTTATTAATGTTCTTTTAAAATGTAGAGTTTCAAGCTGATGCAAATTTAATAAAGGATAATATAAAAAAGCAAAAGTACAACAACTATCAGGGAAATGAAAGGATTGTTTTTGTGCAATCTTCACTAAGCATGTTCACATGCAGCGTGGAAATCTTGTAACTTATGAAATCTGATAACCAATATATTAAACCATATGAGGTTTGATGTAGCATATATGAGTGAAACGACATTCCAGGGCAACTCTATATAGGTTTTTAATTTTGCTTTAACTGCTTCCTTCCCACTGAAGCATCAAAAAGACGTCCAATACCTCAACTTGGACGTTTGTGCATTTTTAAGTCAGATGCTCTGGACTTTGGATGCTCCAGATGATTGGAGATTCAGGTGTTCAGCTGTTTTGATCTTTTCCTTATAAGTGACTTGGATTTACTTGCTATGAGGCATTAGAAAACAACCAAGTCCTCCTGAAAACGTCATGCAGTCAGTTAATCAGGGTTATGATCCTACTTAAATGTTCTGTTTTTGCTTTAAGTGGACCCCCTACATACTGGTGGGTGACAGTGCAGAGATTTCTCTATAAAAACTGAAGCCGGTAAGATTTTTTGGGATTTCCTGCTGCTGTTCATGGCAGCTGGGAATTTAATCTAAACGTTTAGGTTTGTGGTGCAAATGTCATGATATAAAATCAGAAGACTTTAACATTTTTAGTCAATGTAGGTAAATGGTTTTGCCACATGTCATTATGAGTAATAATGATCAGAACACTCTTTTTTCCTTGCACATAAAAAAAAATCCCTGGCTTTTCTAAATCAGTGGAGTTCAACCCTTTGTGTTTATTATTTTTCATAGTTTTCTGCTTACAGCTCTGCAGAAGCAGAGATCACGGCTTGCATGCAGTGTCTGTCTCCCAGACAGTTCCTGGATCAGCTTCTCTTATTGGTTGACTGTCTGCTTCCAGCAGAAAAAGTTCAGGCTGCCCTTAGAGTGAACATTTTTTTCGAGCATCAATGGCATCTGGCTTGCATGCTGAGTCAACAGTAGGCATGCTTCAAAGGACTCCAAGATGTCTCGCGGCCTGTCATGCACATCTTGCACTGGGCATTTGAAGCTTGCTGCACATTTGGATTGACACATGAGTTTACAATACAATACATTAGATAGTAGGAAACACAGCTGCTTTCTACTTTTTGTCATCTTAGAGCTACGGTAATTTCTTCCCAAGGATTTTTCACAATCTGTTAATTGTAGTGATATTTATGTTGATATGTTAATAAGATATATAAATATTAATTTTACTAAGTGCGCAGGGAGGAAAGTCTATTGCAATAGACCAATTTGGCAGCTGACTGATGCATCAAGCAAAAATCAAGCTAAAGGTTTTCCACACTTTTATAGTCTTCTGGGAGTTTATTCCAGATTAGTGGAGCATAATAACTATGTAAATTCTAAATCCCACTTTTGGTTGTAGTTGTGCCTAATAGTCTTCACTCAGACAACCCTGAGAGGTCTGGGCTGTTGATAGACTGACAACAAATCTCTAATGTATTTTGATGGAGAGCCATTCAGTGACATATACCGTACTGTAGACAACCTAGATATTTTAAAGTGCCTTTTAGATACGGGGAGCCAGTGTTCGGCTTTATCAATGGGGTGATGTGCTCTAACTTCTTAGTTTTGCTGAGGACATGGACAGCAGCTTTCTGGATCAGTTGCAGATGTCTGATCAACTTTTTACCTGAGAAGACACTGCTCCTAAAGATAAAGAGATGGATAAGTTTATCAAGACATTAGTCACTTAATCCTGGGAATGTTATTTATATGAATCAAGGCCAACTTTGTTACTGTCATTTTTGTTGCATGGGGAAACAGAAAGAGAGAGAAAAATAGAGAAAACAAATATGTTAACCCTCAATATAAGCTAAAAAGTATTTTTTTGATTTGGCTTATTAGAAAGGAAAAAGAGCAATTCAATAAAACAATTGGCATTAAAATGCATGGCCTAAAAATGATATATTATAGACTATTTTTCATCTGTAGTTCCCAGCTGTTAAATGAGCAATAAAATAACTATTTTTTTTCCCCTCTTAAGTTGTAATTTTCTATGTCATTTTTTTCCCTTTTATTTTTTTACAACAACCTTTATGACCCCAATTTTGCTCTATATTAATGATACAGTAGCAAAAATTTCCCTTCCCAGTCAAACACCAGGCAAATGGCCCCCTCCTTCTCCTGGGCGTGCATATTTTTTTACTCTCACTCCATCCTTTCATTGAATTACAGGGTCCGACCACAGGAAGGTGCTTCTCTTTAGATCTTAATGTCCACAAATCATGTGGACATTTTCTATTAGTTGTGCATTGGACAGATGGTCTTTATGAAAAAGGGACAAGAATAATAATAAGTATTGTTTTCAGTTTGCCAGACACCATACTAGGAAGAAGGTGGAAGAAGGTCCTTTGGTCAGACCGGACCAAACTGAACTTTTTGGCCAAAATGCAAAACGTTATGTGTGGTGACGTAACACTGGAAAGAGTTGATGGGAAGATAGATGGAGTTAAATACCTGCCAATCTAGGAAAAGTACAGCAACCCTAAACATCAAGCCAGGGCTACAATGGGACATTTTAAAATGGAAAGAGTTCATGTGTTAGTATGGCCTAGTCAAAGACCAGACCTAAACCCAATCAGCAATCTGTGGCAAGAGCTAAAAATAGATGTTCACTGATGCTCTACATCTGCTGGAGCTGTTTTGCAATGAAGAAAGTTAAAACATTTCAGTCACTAGATCCATAAAGCAAGTAGAGACATACCAGAAAAGACTTGAGGCGGTAATTGCTGTAAAAGGTAATTTCACAAAGCATTGACTTAGAGGGGGCTGAATACTTTAATATTTTTCTGAAACATGTACAACTGTAAAACATATCATAGTAACTTTTGTTCTCGTCACTGTGCTCCGAAAAGAAATTAAACAATCACAATATTCATATTTTAAAACAAAATCACTAAAATGGATTTGATTTTCTTAAAGACAATTATTTACAATCACAGGGCTGAGGGGTGAGTCCCACAGAGAAACACAATGTAGCCTACAGAAAATCGACAATAACACTCACTGTTATCTATGGACAGCTTCTCCATAGTCATCAACAGAACCCATGAAAAGACACAACATTTAGAGAGATCCTTAAATGGAGCCAGAACTACAGCACCCTCTGCTGGTTGTCTTGGATAAATACATCTCATATTTGCAATTTAAATTACATGGCTGTTGAAATCCTGGTCTGATGGGCATTGGATGATGGGTAAATGTAGAAGATAAAGAGACAAAAGATTCAAATGGAAAGAAGAAATATCTGCGAAAGATTTGGTACATTTGAAAGAAAGCAGAAGTTTTGAGTATAAGCATAATAGGTTTTGCCTGGAAGCTGAACGAAATCCTGCTCTGTGTACTCTTGAATTTTTATCCAAATCTGTTCTAATTTTTCAAATTCAACCAGAGTTATAATGTGAACAAAGTGGAGTTTTATTCTAAGTATCAAAATTTCATTTTATTGAGAAGTGAAAGTAAATCAAATATGTGGCAATGCTTTTGTATTAAGTGGCTACTTATCAAAGGCCAGTTATTTTAATACATATTTATTTTTTCATCTGAGCAGACTGAATTCAAGTTACATGAACTCTAAACTAAGGTAAAGTTAGAGTCTGAAAAGCTCTTCTGATCTTTAGTAACCTTTTTTTTTTTTACTTTTTGGAAATATAAAAGGCTGTTAATGTTCTATATTTTTAGCTCATTTAACTTTAAATCCTTGCTTTTGCCTATTATAAATGTAAAGGCGCAGAAACTGTTATTTGCAGATCATTTTAAGTTGTTTTCTTTCTTTTCTTAAGGTTCCTATACATTTCAACTGTTTAACAGTTAAAATCATTTTTTTTTAATTTTGCCACAGGAGTCTCATTTCTCCCCACAGTCAATTATTCTTGACAGACTCTTCCCTGTTAAACAGAACACCATTAGCTTGAAGTTTAATTGCTTCTATATCATATTACCGGTATTAACTATTTTGCAAATAAATGCATTTGAAGCCAAAAAGGACATTACTAGTTGTAAACACATGCAGAAAACCCAGCATAACAATAAAAAAATACTGCAACAATTAACCATTATGTATAAAAACTAGTCAGAACCATTAAAATAATACACATATTCTGAGAGAATATATGAAAATATTGCCAATTAATGCACCTGAAACTGGTCTGCTTAGATTTTTTTAAATCTAAAAGTAGCAAAATCAATTATTCTTCTTCTAACTTTAGTCAGCTTAAACCCATAAATGAGTGGATTCATAAGGGGAGGAAAGACAAGAAATTCTATTGCTATAAAATTCAGCAATGTCTGTGATAAATCTTTGGAACTGAGTCGGATGTTGATAAGATCAGTCAATATAGTCAACATAAAAATGGAGAGGGAGATTAGATGGGGCACACAAGTTTGCAAAAACTTTTTCCTATTTTCTAGAGAATTAGCACATATTTTGATGATATACATGTAAGACCATACAATACAGAAACCAAAAGTAGTATAAATTATTATT